CATAATGTTTTTCTGAGTAATTGCGAAGATAATTCCTGGACTATTCCGGATGTCTAGTTTTGAGCCTCCAGACAGACACAGCGATAGAGAGATTGTTTCAGTATCGCGGCCTTTGAAGTAGCATCGCATTCCACGGCTGACTAGATTCCAACTGCGTTTATTGCTCTTTGAGGGTATGCAGATGCAGATCGATAATCAATTTTATCAGCAAGAGCATAGGTTTGTGTGATAGGATTCGCATGTGGACGTGTATATACGGGGTGTTCTATGTACACAAAATAAATTACGTAAAATCTTCATCTTTCACACTTTACTATGCGAAAGTTCAATTTGAGCTGCTATAGCTCTAGTACTCATTGTTCGGTCGTCTTCGACCATTTCTAGAATGTCTTCCTCCATCTGTGACCTTTAATAATGTGTGGATGCACCCTGATGTGCTACGCATTCTCCAACGCGCCTAGGCATGCTTCTGATCAGGCGGTCAATGTCCTCCTGTGGTATCTCATTCCAGGCAACCACCAACTCCTCTAGAAGTGCCTCAAGAGTCTGAGGAGGACGTTGCAAATTGAGCAATCTCCTACCCATCATATCCCACACGTGCTCAATTGGGGATAAGTCGGGAAATCTTGGTGGCCATGGTAACAATGTGACATCATTATGTTGAAAGAAGTCTATTGTGACTCTTGCAATACGTGGTCGGGCATTATCTTGTTGGAAAGCTGGATCTGCCAGGGTGTCAAGATAGGGTAAAAGATGGGGTTCTCGAACTTCGTGGATATAACGCTACGCGTTCATGTTACCTCTGATGAAGATTAAAGGTGACCTGGAACCATAAGCTATAACACCCCAAACCATAACTCCAACAGTGGGATGAACATGTCTTTCAACAAAAAACTGTGGATTCCTCCTTTCACCACGTCGCCTTCTAACCCTGGCACGACCATCGTGCATGCCTAAACAAAATCGAGACTCATCACTAAAGACAATACTGTTCTATTCCTGATCCCAGAGTGACCGTTGTCTGCACCACTCAGGGCGATTACGTCGGTGTTCTCGAGTTAAAGGGAGGACCCAGTGTGGCCGGTATGAAAACAAGCCAAAACTTCTCATTCGTCGGTAAACACTTCGCATGCCAATAGGTCTTCCGTGTTCTGCAAACCATTAATTTGCAATGGATCTGGTAGTGGAGAAACGGTCCCTTATGGCCAATAATCTTAGGCGGCGATCTTCACGGTTTGTTGTTCTACGGCGGCGTCCAGTGCCCCTTGCTGTTTGCGTACGGCCTTCTCGAAGCCATGCCTGTCAACACCTAACCACAGTGTCTACACTTCTTTGCACTCTAACTGCAATTGCCCGAAAAGAAAGTCCAGCTTCCCGAAGTCCCACTATACGGCCCCTATCAAACTCACTAAGTTGACGAAATCGTACAGGTCTCCGTACTCTACAGTATATTCAGATAAGAGATAGACCGGATGTAAACAAAAGGTTCGGGTGATTTTCACGCTAACGCCGCCGTCTCGACGTAAAACAGGAGCCCTCATTGGTCAATTCGCAATTAAATGCCTATGCCGAGCGGCAGAGCAGTCGTATCAAGGCAGAGTCACATTCAGGTTCAGACGTGTTACGTATGTCGAGTGCATCATTGCAATTTGATATTTCTTTGGACGTTTTCGTTTGTTATCTTATTAAGTTGTTGAGTTTGTCGTTGTTATTGTTATACCTTGTTATTGATTGTTATTGTTATCAACTGCTTGCGCAAAATGCCCAGTAGTACAGATACTGCCGATGAAGTTGCAAACTCCTGTAGTCCACCTAGGAAACGCTCTAAAAAAAGACACCTGAGTGCAGAAATGAGGAAAACGCAGTAATTGTGTTGGATAATGCGCCTTATCATTCTCGAAGAATGGAGAAGGTCCCAACAACGGCTTCAAGGAAAGTTGATGTTCAAAATTGGTTCCGCTCGAAAAATATCAACTTTGAAGAAGCAATACTGAAAGTACGTATACAATTATTAAGAATTGTCAAGGATCACAAGGCGGAATATCAAAAATACGCCATTAACGAAATGGCAGCAAGTCAAAATAAAACTGTGCTCCGTTTACCTCCATACCATTGCGAGCTCAATCCCATTGAGCTCATATGGGCAGAGGTTAAAAATTATATAGCTAAGCACAATACAACTGTTAAATTTTGTGACCTCAAAGGACTTTTCAAAGAAGCACTAGAATTAATAACAGCGCAAAAATGGGAAAACTGTATTAAGCACGTGAAAGACAAAGTTGAAAAGAGAATGTGGGAACTGGACAATATTTTAGAGGAACAAGTCGAGCCATTCATTATTGACGTTGGTGCTTCAGGCAGTAGCGATGATGAAAGCTCATCAAGCTCATCTTTCCAATAAAAGATGTCGTTCATCAAATTCGGTAAGTTATAAGTAATTATAAATCTACTGTATTTTTTAATTAATTATTGACATTTTTGAACCCATTTTGGCAAAACCTATTCAAGAATCTACTTTCTGACAATGTTCAACCATGCACAGTTTTTTACGTTTTGAACGTTTTAATTTGGTCACATATTTATCTAGAAATCAAAAAATATACTAATCAATATTCTAAAAGCAATTTTAAGAGATATACGATTATTTTAATTTAGGCTAATTTAAACGCCATTTTGAGATTATATTCGACTGTATTTCACCAAACATCAGGCGGCATCCGAAGCTGGAAATCGAAGCGAAAATTTTGAAACCCTTATGTATATTTACGTCATTATATATTTCTTACCCCACCCCCACATGATCCTATATCCATCACCAATCGTATACACATCGAATTGTGCTAATTTACTACAAAGTTACGCAAAGCACCATCTACTATCTAAAATATGTACTGCGTGACTCTTAATACGTCCCTGCCGAATGTCACAGCGTTCGATGATCACGTGGTCTTGTTTATGTCCGGTCTATCTCTTATCTGAATATACTGTAGGCATCGTAACCGATCGTAAAGGATGTCAAGAACCAAATCCGCCAACATTGATTCTTTACTGCGGTTGAAATATTCATTTTTAGAGCGTTAGTGAATTAAAAAAAGCAGTATAAAAACCGGAATGTCCAACTGATAAGGCTGAACACTTTTTCACTTATTATTTATAGTAAGATAAATACATTCACCTACTTTTATTAAAATAAAACCATTTAAACTGGGTGTTCGGATTTATATGTCACTTAGTATATAATAAAAGGTTTGAAAGGCTAATAACTGTTGGGATAAAACTACTGCATAAACCAGTGGGTAAATAGATCGCAGAAGAGCAGCGAGGGTAAAACATAAACAGAACAGTATCCACGATGAGATTTTTTTACACCCACATTGCCTGGACTATCACGCTCTCGTACGCGTCCCTTCTAACAAAATTTTCGTACAGCAATCATGGAGAGCAAGCCATAATCCTCATTCAAAAAGGAGCATGAGACATTGTTATCAAAGCACGACGTCCATTTTATCGTGGCAAGCTTACCATGTGCCTCGTAACATCCAAGGTTCCGACAGGATTTTAGCATGATAAAGAGGAATAAAAAGTTCTTATGCGCGACCTTGGACGTCTTTTTATATCTTCTTGAAAGCGCACGGAAGGATGAATGAACATTGTGTATCTGAAGCTTTCCCAGCAATTTCTTTAATGTAGTGGAAAGTGGAACTCCAGGGAGTGGGTCACTACTACTATGTATAAAATACCTTTACAGGGCAGTTCGTGAGATCCAGAAAGTATCTTTGCATCCGCTCGGAGAAAATATTCCGTTTTGTTTTTTTTTGTATAATGCTATTAGCATTAAAATACCAAAACATGTCTATTTGCTTATCATAAAATACGAGTAATATACAACATAGTATGTTTGTTTCCATAAGACTCTACGATAGATTGTTGGAGCTGTCAGTCAACATGGGCTAAAAATGGTATACACAAAATATAATAAAAGAAACCGAATAAGCATCACGTATTTAAAGTCAGTAAAGAGTATAATAATCATGAGAAATTCTCTGATATTCCTGTTGAAAGGCGCTGTGAATTGGATAATTTTTATATGGTCAGGTAACTTATTACCTATGTGATCTAGATAACATAATTGTGGGACATTTTGCAGTCAACGACAGCCTGTGCGCTGCAGCAGCTATCTGGTGCGAGGCTCTCAAGTACTGGAGAGCAGCATATCCTCTTTAGAGGTTATAGCTTTTAAAATCTCCTTTAAAATACACAACACAATTTATAGACACACTCATTTTTCTTAGCTGTTTGAACAGATCGGCACGGGATGTACGTCTGTTTTCAAAAAAAAATTGTTCTAATTATCTTATTTTGGAGAAGAAATACCTCCTCCACTCTACAACTGTTGCCCTAATAGACGTTTCGACAGTTAAGAGCAGTGTGTACATATGCGAAATAACATATTCTTAGCAATTTCACGTCAACGTAATTGTTAAGCTGCCATAATACATAGCAGTGCGATTTGACAGAAGTTGTGTGCCTTGTGCTGCACCACTGAAATATACTTAGTGACATTAGAAGTGTTACACCCAGAAAAAATAATTTCTTCAACTTGATTTTTCGTAGTCTTACATCGAGAATGAAACGATAACATTCTCACGAATTTTATTGACAAGTAATAAAATTAAAAAACAAAATTACTTTGTGGCTAACGGAGATATATCCATTACCAATATTAATTATGTTGCGCATACAAATGTTTACATTATTTTTGCTGAAGTGACAGGTAAACTATTTAGATATATTTTTCATAACAACAATGGAAAAATTTTATTAGGATTTGGAAATATCGTTTATGACAACAATATAATATCACAATGTAAAAGTTGCTTAAGGTTTAATCATTCAATGAAAAAATGTCAAAATTGTAAAGTATGTTCAAATGTGGAGAAAACCATGACATTTCCTCCTGCAATCAATCAACCACGAAATGTTGAAACTGTGTGTCTGCCAACCACAAGTACAACAAACAATATGATACAAATCATGATACAACTGATTAAAAATGCCCTACTTTCAAATTCTTCCAACAACAACACGTATCACGAGTTTTATTTTGAGATTTAAAGAAGTGGATCTTATATACAAAATTTAATTCTAAATTATGAAAGAAAACAAACCTTTTAAATTTGATCACTTAAATATTCGATCTCTATTACCTTCTCTATCTGGTTTTGCCTACATGTTGGAAAATTCTGATTATGATGTTTTAGCTCTATCCGAAACATGGCTGAATAAAAACATCTTAGATAGTCTTTGTATATTCAAGGATATACATTTTATCGAAAATATAGGCAGGGTCGTGGTGGAGGCGTGGGCATTTACGTGAAAAATGGGTTGCTCTTTGAAGAATTACAGATTGGGAACCATATTGGCTACTTTCCTAGCGTTGAAAATATGTGGATTGAATTGAAATTATGTGGTCAAACTCTTGCCTTTGGGGTAGTTTACCGACCTCCCCATAACAATGTTGATTGATTTTTTGATAATGCTCTCTCTTTTCTGGTACTCAACTTTTATTATGTTGTAGTTGTTGGAGATATGAATATAAATCTTTAAGGTTCAGACAACAAATTATAAAATTGTCTTAATGCGTATGGATTCCATCAAGTTATTATAGAACACACTAGAATAACTAGTACTTTGAGCAGCCTACTGGATCCCATATTCATCAATGATCTTCAACTTTGTCCAAATTCTGGGACTATAAATATGGATTTATTGACCAATCATTTTTTAGTATTTTAGTCTAAATCTAAGCAAAAATTCGTTAATTCAGAGCCTTTAAAAATTTTGATATTTTATGATTTCAAAATGATGTTTTAAACTTTCCCTGGAGCATTATATATTCCGTAGAGAGTATTGATCACAAAATTTCATATTTGACAGATGAGCTAAAATTGGTCTTGGGCTATCATCCCAGCTTAGACGTATGATGAAAGACAGAGACAGAGCTTTAAATCAGTTTAAAATTAATAAGACAGAAGATTTCTGGAAACGCTACAAAGAGCTCAGAAATTCAACTTTAAGTCAAATTAGATATCAAAAAGCAGCATACCTATTTATTATCGCTGCATCAACAAAATGATAAAAAAATGTTTTATAGATCCTTAAAATCAATGCGTATCCAACAGTCACAAAATACCGATATTCCTCGACATTTAAAGAACCCTACTGACATTAATAATTATTTCTGTTCCATTTTTAATAACGCCATTTGTTCATGCACAGAGAAGATTGAGCATTATGAAAAGAATCACTATTCTAGTGAAACCAATCGACATGACATTTAAAATCGATGTTCCAGTCTCTGAAATCGAATGCCTTGGGAAGCGATGGCGTGTCACTCAGAATGTTAAAACTATGCTTTTTTGCGATTTCAGGTCACATTTTACACATCATAAATAAATGTTTAGAAAGGAGATTCTCTCCAGAATCATGGAAAGAAGCATTAGTGATACCTCTATCTAAAATAAGTAAGCCAAAATTATATTCTGATTTAAGACCAATTAGTATTTTACCTGTTTTGTCAAAATTATTAGAAAAAACAATGTACGCCCAAATTTACGATTATCTCTCTAAACATAAAATTTTGCCTTCTAAACAATGCGGTTACCGAAAAAGATATAACACTGCAGGTGCATTATTAGAGCCTGGGATCAACATATGATCACATCATTATTTCTTCTTGACTTCTTTAAGGCATTCGATACCATAAATCATCGTCTTCTAGTAGCCAAGTGTAAATATTTTGGTTTTTCTGATTCTGCCTCAAAAATGATTCAGATCTTCTTAGGAAATCGATATCAAAGGATACACATTGACATGGTTCTATCTTCAAAGTGCCTCATTTTCTCCGGAGTGCCTCAAGTGTCTGTACTTGGACCACTCCTATTCATTTTGTATATTTCTGATCCCTACTCAGTTTGTTAAATATTGTAATATCCAATCCTTTGCGGACGATTCACGGATCTACAGTTATTTCCATAATCACGACATTCGAAATGCTGAATATGAGGTAAATGAAGAAATAACATCTATTAGTATGTATACAAAAAATCATAACCTTCAGTTGAACCCTCTAAAATCGAAAATCATCATTTTTCACCAAAACTATTTAGAAGTGATGCCAAAAGAAATTAAAAGAAAGTAAATTTATATGGTGAGACTATAGAAATAAGTGAGTCAGTGAAAAAACTGGGACGTTAATTTAAAAGGCTATAAAATGGATGGAAGAAAATAATTTACCACTTTTGAAATGGGTTTCTAGCAGTCCAGATCTGTCACCTATTGAAACTTTGTGGCACGAGATGAAAAAGGTTCTACGACAACATCTTGCTCGTACAATCACCGAACTGAGACAAAAGCTTCAAGAAATAAGGGATTGTTTTACACCAACTTTTTCCAAAACTTGGTTAACACTATGCCCTAAAGAATTTCAGCCGTAATAAAGAATAAAGCTGACGTTACCCAATGGTAATCTTTCAATTGTTGCTTTGTTAACATCGCGCATTTATTCGCACATTGTTTATTTGTTCAGATGTTCTATTAGTTATAGGTCTAAGTGATTTCAAACATGTATTTTTTACGACTAGAGTGTATCTAAAATGCTTTTGAGAAAATAAATTGTTTTAAAAGTAAATAGTTTCGTCATGTTTAGTTTATAAAGGCATATTTTGGTACAAATCTTGAAGTGGGTCAACTGAAGTGGGAAGGGGCTCGTATAAACATGTACATATCGATGTGGAAGAAGACAAAAAAGGCGAACTAATTTTGTTATTAAAAAATAGAGACATCCATTGTTTAAATCACATGTAATCTACACCGTATGAGCATCCAAATATCTTCCAGAACCCTCCCTTACGCAAATGCTGGATCTGCCCTTGAGAGGAGCGCTCATGACTTTAGCTTCGACTCTGGAAAAGAAACCAAACTCACCTACATTGTCGGATTCAGCATATTACGCAGATTTTACGGCCATATTTCACGTTTTATGAGCGATTTCTTACGGTGCCGGCTGCACATCCCCGATAAAATGACATTTTTGTAAGTATTACCACCCATGATGTTCCACAAGACCTTGGATTTTACCGGAACAATGTTATGACAAGGTTTGTCGATGTATTTATATTGGGATATCGCTAGATTTATTGCAGCTTCATGTTTCAGTAGGAGAAATGAATTATTAAGACAGTAGTGATGCAAGTTCTAGTAGAATTACGCAGTGTTGTACAGGGAGACCAGAAAAACGAATTTCAAAACCGCATTGTTAGGACAGGTAAGTGGAAGCGAGACACGGCTAGTGGTAGGACAAGTAACAGTTCTTACGAAATTGAAGTCGAGATTCGGGGAGTGCGGACTCCTCTATGGCTCACATCTTAATGATATTATTTTCGAATAATATACTAAGTGACATATAAATCCAAACACCCAGTTTAAATGGTTTTATTTTAATAAAAGTTGGTGAATGTATTTATCTTACTGTAAATAACAAGTGAAAAAATTTTCAGCCTTATCAGTTGGACATTCCGGGTTTTATACTGCTTTTTTTTTAATTCACTAACGCTCTAAAAATGAATATTTCAGCCGCAGTAAAGAATCAACGTTGGCGGATTTTGGTTCTTGACATCCTTTACGATCGGTTACGATGCCTAGAGTACGGAGACCTGTACGATTTCGTCAACTTAGTGAGTTTGATAGGGGCCGTATAGTGGGACTTCGGGAAGCTGGACTTTCTTTTCGGGCAATTGCAGTTAGAGTGCAAAGAAGTGTAGACACTGTGGTTAGGTGTTGTCAGGCATGGCTTCGAGAAGGCCGTACGCAAAGAGCAAGGGGCACTGGACGCCGCCGCAGGGCAACAGACCGTGAAGATCGCCGCCTAAGATTATTGGCCTTAAGGGACCGTTTCTCCACTACCAGGTCCATTGCAAATGAATAGTTTGCAGAACACGAAAGACCTATTGGCATGCGAAGTGTTTACCGACGAATGGGAAGTTTTGGCTTGTTTTCATACCGGCCACACTGGGTCCTCCCTTTAACTCGAGAACACCGACGTAATCGCCTTGAGTGGTGCAGACAACGGTCACTCTGGGATCAGGAATGGAACAGTATTGTCTTTAGTGACGAGTCTCGATTTTGTTTAGGCATGCACGATGGTCGTGCCAGGGTTAGAAGGCGACGTGGTGAAAGGAGGAATCCACAGTTTTTTGTTGAAAGACATGTTCATCACATTGTTGGAGTTATGGTTTGGGGTGCTATAGCTTATGGTTCCAGGTCACCTTTAATCCTCATCAGAGGTAACATGAACGCGCAGCGTTATATCCACGAAGTTCTAGAACCCCATCTTTTACCCTATCTTGACACCCTGGCAGATCCAACTTTCCAACAAGGTAATGCCCGACCACATGTTGCAAGAGTCACAATAGACTTCTTTCAACATAATGATGTCACATTGTTACCATGGCCACCAAGATCTCCCGACTTATACCTAATTGAGCACGTGTGGGATATGATGGGTAGGAGATTGCTCAATTTGCAACGTCCTCCTCAGACTCTAAAAGCACTTCGAGAGGAGTTGGTGGTTGCCTGGAATGAGATACCACAGGAGGATATTGACCACCTGGTCAGAAGCATGTCTAGGCGCATTGGAGAATGCGTAGCACATCAGGGTGCATCCACACATTATTAGAGGTCATAGGGCTTTAAAGCAGTGCAATCATTTTGAAATTTTTATCATTTACTTATTATGCTTCATTAAGTACTTATACAAAATTTTATTAAAATAAAACCATTTAAACTGGGTGTTCCGATTTATATGTCACTTAGCATATTTTGCGGCGTGGAAATAATTTTAAATTATCATTTGCATTTTCAAATTTTGTGCAATATAAATATAACCTAGAATGTGTACTTGTGAAAAAAGAAAAATATGGCAAATTTGTAGTTTTTTTTGCAGGCTTTAGGTTTGCTGGTAGCTTTAAGGCATATATTTGGGAATTTCTTAATCGCTGTGAATATAGTGTGGATGTTTGTTCAGCTCCTGAACAACGAAAATATTCAACTTTATGGATGTATGGATATTAAAAACCCAGAATGGTTTTGTGGGAATATCAAACTAAGGTGCCATAATGGTCCTGATGAACGGCAAGGAGATGAATGGATGTTTGGAAACGAGCAACACCTTTTGGTAGAGCCTGT